AGATATCACTGAAGGACAAAAGGATTAGGCAGCTGGAGGAAGAGATATCAATGTTAAAGTTACCAGTTACTAGAGATGACACGGGCCCAGGACAGAGTGACTGTTAATTACTGGTCCACCTAAGTCTATATATTATATGCTAGTCCTTATTTCTGCATTATCTTACTCCTGCCAGTATGCCTGTGTGCAATTCTGTTTAATGGATCAAGCCTATGTTTGGGAAAGCAATGTGCCCTGGTGTTACTGTTATGAGCAGTAGAGCTTCAGAGATGACAGAGATTTTGTTCGTTGTTATTGAAGGTTTAGCTCAAATTGTGTTCATTTTCTGCATAAAAGGGACAATCAATTTTAATGGACACTGGAGCATATGTATTCAATGGACAGTTAAGCAGATATTTGAATAGCCATGTCAAAGTGTGTTGCACTGTTACATTTTGCCTGATATTTTATGGAATCTGTGCAATGACATTTACAAGTTAACACTGAAGTACATGTAGTTGTAAAATTTAGTGTAGCTTTTCTTCAATTCTGGAAGAACCATATCTAAAGATATGTTGTAGATGGCATGATGTAAGATAAAGAGGCTGCTTATGGACTGATCTTTGTTACATGCACATCAAACTGAAGATAGGTTTGATTATTGTAACATAACAGGATCATCAAATGAGTCATTTCAAATTTCATGTTGATCCTGCAAACAAAACAAATTGATTCTGTAGAGGAACTGTTCATTTACAAAACAATTGATATTGTAAAAATATATGAATGTGTGCATTCCATAAACCTTTTGTGAAGATTTTTACTTTTGCTTTTTATATGAAGATGCTATTGTTGCACTTGGAAAGTGCAGATGTTATATTTCTTTCTGTTCATAGATATATGTAAATGTATACAATAAAACATATGTTTTATATGTTTACCTTGGAATCAATAATTACATATAGTAACACGAATCATATCCAATTTTTAGTGCTTAGGTCCTTTGATGTGCTCTACTGCAAAACATTTTTTTTTTAACTTTCCACAAATACATTCCAACTTTGTTAAGTTTGTGACGCCAAGGAAAAACTTCAGAAAGTTAAGATAAAAGGGGGAAAAGAAATTTTAAAAAGTGGTTGGGAATTAGAAATAATTTTGAAAAATTACCAGAGTATTCATTAAATAGTTCTTAGATTTTTTTTTTAATTTTTATACTAATTCATCTATAACAATAACATTGGTATAGTTTTCATTGAGGCTGTTCAAGTCAACACAACCCCAAAACATGACAATAGCACGCTGTGTAGTTGGTTGTGTAAGCAGTGCTACATTGTACTTAACCTGTGATTTTTATGATTATACACTGTATTGAAATTTATACATTATTGATGTGCTTTTTAATCAGTATTTATTATTATCTGTAAAAAGAACTCGCTTTATAATATGTGAGCACAATTTTATGCCTATCTATAAGCATGGAACACGAATTAAGCTTTGACTTCAAAACACACCAAGCCACTAAAATAGACACCGCCAATAATTCACATATTCCCTGACAGTTTCTTCTTAAGTGTTCATTTTTTACACTATAAAGGATGCTTATTGTACATGAGATGAATATAAACTTTGTAACATGCAATAAGCCATGTGCATAGTTACTTACAATTTTTAAATCGATTTTGCAACAATACACATTCTCATGAGCTCTGGTTTCCAACATTAAGTTAGTATTAAAGTTATTTCAGCTTGTTCTTTTCATGTTTTAAGGTGATAAAGGCTTCCAATCAATTTCAATCAACGCATTGTAGTTAGAAAAAGCTACAGACATTTGATTTGCAGGTGCATATTTAACGTGTTCAAATTGATGGCGATATATATATGTTGTGGGCATTGCCGATATTTGTTTCAGGTTGAATGGGTGGTTTTTGTCAGGTTAACATTGTAACGATTTAGAATTGTGATTATAGGAGTTCTAGATATGTAGCATGAAATCAGAGTTAACATTTTATACAAATTTGCTAAGATATGGGTGTGTTTCTATTTTGCCTTTACCAGATTTAAATTTAGATCTGTGAACATGAGGTTTGGGTAAAGGATCTTATAATTTTTTTTCATACACTTGTCTCTGGCAACAAAATACACCTTAACCAACTGTAATATTTAGGTCTCACCTAGCAATTTTGAAGAATTTTGTCTTGATGTCTACACACATCGTAACGTCCATTTAATGTTAATATGAAGTATGGGTAAAAGGACATTCTCTTTTTTCCTTTAAACAAGTCTTTATTTTTTTAAAAATGATATTAACTACATCTTGATGATTTTGTTTCAATTAATCATTTCATTATCAGTTTGTTAATTTTCTATATACAGACACAAAACTTGCTTACATGTGGCTATTGTACACTATAATTGGTTTTGTCTACCGGGTAGCTGGCTTTTCATAAAATTAACTTGTAGCAAAAATATTCAGATTAGAACTTTTTTGTGATCTTTTTATACATAAAAATAAAAAAAAGTAATTCATATATTCCTTTTCACTATAAATGTTCTAACTGTAGTTTAAATTAGAAAATGTAATACATATATATCTACACTGGACTTGTAACAGAATCTCTATACTAACGTTTGTTAATATTTCTTTATTTTAAGATCTGTCTCAGTTAGGAAATTATCATTAATGGTTAGTAGTATCAATTTTTTAGAGTCTTTAAAATTTTGTATTTTTTATTATTGCATTTGAACAAAAGCTTTTATTCAAATTAAAGAAAATGAAATACATTTTCATACAAGTAAGATTTCTTTTTGTTTTTTGTCTTTGTTAATCTTTTAATTAGTAAATTAGTCTTATCCAAAACAGGCTTTAGGAAGGGATTTGATTTTAAGATTATGATGAAAACTTGTGCATCATATTTTATGCAATTTTTATATCTTGTAACATTGAACTATAATCAAAATATATACAGGGAATTAAAATACAGAGACATTATTTAGTTTTAGTAAATAAACCTGGAATTCATTTCAATTTTATGCCTATGGAAATTTTTCGATTTTTTTGCCTTAAAAAGAAGGATTTGATATTGAATTAAAAATAAATAAAAGGAGTAAAAACAGAAATAAGACGGAGATGTCATTTTCTGGATTATTTCAATACAAAATCTTTGGAAAAAAATTATAGGAATTGATATAAGTAGCATGTTTCTAGTGCTTAGCTACCGGTACATGTAATTGAAAATATACAGCAATTCATTTATATTTGCCATGTCATTATAAAAAAAAAGATATACACTGGCTTGTTTAATTTTGTAAAAGATGACTAATAATTGTATACATATTTTCACAATATTGTTTAAAGTGTTTTGCTTCAGAATTGTTTATGACAATAAAAGTAATAAAGACGATGATGTTTTCTTTTCTGACTGATTGTTGAAGCAATGTCAAAACTTGTTATCTCGAAATTGATTGGGAGAAAGAAAAAAAACACTTCATGATAAATGAGGATTGGAGATATTGATTGATTGATTGTATATTATTTAACGTCCCTCTCGAGAATTTTTCACTCATATGGAGACGTTTCCGTATGACGGTGAAGGGCTTCAAATTTTGACCTTTACTCGGCACTCAGGGCCATTGAGCAGTGAGGGATCTTTATCGTGCCAACGCCTGCCGCTGACACGGGGCCTCGGTTTTTAAGGTCTCATCCGAAGGACCCGCAATTAACTTTCACTTCAAAGTGCCGAGCGCATGGCGAAGGAACAGTTGCTACCCATTTTAACGACTAGGTCAGTTGCGGCCGAGATACGAACTCACGACCTCCCGATCACGGAGCGAGCGCTCTACCGACTGAGCTACCGTGAACGGTTTGGAGATATTGAAATAAAGAGGGAAGGAGATTTCAAATTCGGCATATCCACTGTATGTCAAGAATAGGTTCCACTGTAAATGTATATCTATGAGTGACGGACACGAATGTTTACATAAGGTCTTGAAATACGAAGCCTATTAAACAAGAATTTCTACAGAATTTGATATTGATGCGAAAATTGTGCGCTAAATGTTTTTTGAAAACTTTAACAATTATGAAATATAGGCAGATAACGAACAGTATTCAAGCTCAACTGTCAATCCAAACAATATCAGGAGCAGAGTAAACAACATTGTTCTATACAAAGACCAAAGTAAACGATCCTCTTTCACAGTAGGAGAGAACTATATGCGGACTTTGGATCGTAGCTTGAGATGATGAGTAAACATGGACAGCTATGTTCTTTTTTTCAGCAACGTGTTTGTCATTAACATTGTTTTAAGAATTGTTCATATGTAGAGCTGAGTAAGGAATTACATTTGTACATTGAGATATATAAGAAACAAATTTTATTATCCTCTTCCCAAAAGCCACTGGGCCAGAAAAGTTGAAACTTATTGAGAAAGCATCCTTGGGTAGTGTAGATTCTAAATCGTCGAAACCATGACCCCTATAGGGGTAGTCCGACTCTGGAATAATACCAATTACAGAGACCCCTATAGCTTACTTTTTTGGTGGTCAAATATATTTTCACTTGTCCTTAGTGTGTTAAAATTTCTAAGTTTTCTAAAAATTTCGATTTACAAATGGTTTAGAGGCAAATTAAATGTTGTAGTAAATATGGTAGATTGAGAAAAAATTCATACAAATAATACCTATATAATATAAAATACAATTAATTAAAAGTATGGAATTTTGTCAAGAATAAGTATTATGTATAGAGTTATAAATTTGACCCTCCCCCCCCCCCCCAAATATAGTAATTTCTAATTTGCACTCATCATTTAGACAATGTATTTTTATTACGGTAGATACTTCTGTTTTAGTTCAACAATGGTAATATTTTACTTAAACACTCAGAATCAGATAAGTCTACATATAATATATTATACATTTATTGCATGATAGTGAAGGAAATATGAAGACTTATTCAGCCGAGAAAAGTCATATTCCCCGAGGGCTTCGCCCGAGGGGAATATGATATTTTTTGGCTGAACAAGTCTTCATGTTTCCCGAATATTCATGCAATGAATTGTTTATTATACCGAAACAAGCAAAACCTTTGAAATAAACATAAACTTTCAAATTCGGCACCGCTCTCTAATTCACACCATTGTTAACGTAAAGTTACTTTAAAACCCTTTTGTCAACACATTGTCATCAGTTTTGTGAGGTAAACCAGGCTATTGTGACGTCTACTACTCTCAGGAGTTTTCGTTCAACGAACGAGAACTATATTGCGGGAAAATTCACTAGGTGTTCCGAAGAGGTGGAATATGATGAAAAGCGCGTGCCGACGACGGGAAATATGAAGTTTTACGGCCCGATCACGTGATAACCTAGAACCAATCAGATAACGCGTTGTGTAGAATATTTATAATGAGGTATAATAAACATCTTTGTTTTCTTCCCTTGAAATATTTATCTTCTGAAAGACTCTTTTGAATAAAAAGTATATTTTGAAATAAAGTCAATTTTTGCATTTATTTTCCTCCTTTTCCCTCTTGAAAATACAATCTTTGACATTTGTAAGAACACTAGCTACGTCGAATGGTCATATACAAAAATGTATTATTTTCCATCCCTATCCCTAACAAACACAAAGTGCATAACTATGGTAAATCCAAAATTATTTCAAAGACACAATATATCTTTTCATTATTTTTTCATCACAAACAGGTAGTCCAGACAACAACTCGATATGTGAGAGGTATTAATTAACAAAGCTAATAGATTTCATTGCTCTATTTCAGTTCATAAACTTTAATCTTCTTAAATTCACTACATACACAGCATATGTTTTTCTTATCATTCACTGCTAGAAAGACTGGTCTCGGCATATTACTAAACACCCTAATGACTTCTCCAGCACAGGACAAAACGTGGATGTTTCTACTCTCTGTACCAGCAACAAAAATGTTTTCAGCATTATCCCTTTCAAGTCCATATGGTCCCTTTAAATTGGATGATTTGTATTCCCAAAGAGTATTGCCATTATCAGTCATTGCAGTCACGATGTTTTTCTCCTTGTTACTGTAAACAAGATCCACACTGTTTAATACAAGAAGATGAACAACACGTGAACCTGTTTTGTATTCTTTAATTTTGTGTCCATATCTATTTATCTTTATAATTTTGTCTCCACATGCCACATAAAAGGTGTCATTTTTACATGCTATTCCGTAAACGTATATATCTAGCTTAATATTCTGTGTTTCTAAGTAGTTAGAAGTTGAGAAAACCTTAATGGATTGTGTGTCAAAGCATGTAACGAAAAATTCATTGGCATATTCAATGACTGCAAACGGTAGTCGCAACCCATCAATTGTTTTTATGCATGTGAAATTCTCATCATAAAAAAAACACTGACCATTAAGCTCATGATTTACAACTACAAATGTGCCATCTGAAAGAAAATTTCCACTGCGAATATTAGCATTAAGTAGATCAAATTCCTGTTTAAAAGACAGCTCTTTTTCATACACACGATTCACATCTTTTTCCATATCAAAAGCTTCTATCTGTGACAGAGTTTTCATGTCTTTAATTTGCTGTAACATTTCAGGTTTGTTTTCCAGTATGCTTACATATTTTTCTGTGAACTGAAAAGATTTCATCTGCTCTTGAGTAGCTCTGGCTAAATAATATTCCATCAGTAATTGAACATCACTTCCCTTTTCCATGGCTCTTTCAACTTTATCCCCACAAGATTTTGCACAAGAAATCCCGTCAGTGACAATCTCCAAACTTTTCCTAATTTTTTCTTGACTTGTTTTGCCTGCCACGGATATTTTTTGTAAGAGATCATTCTTCAGCTTTTCCAAATGCTCAACTAGAATTTTCAGCTCTTTTTCTGCTTTTTCCGTCAAGCTATCGACACTATCTTCTATTTCTGTTATGTTTTTCTCCTGTCTTGCCTTTGAGCCAGTCAGTTTCTTCTCAAGATTCTTAACTTCAGTTAACAGACCACTTAGTTTTCCACTTTCACGTAAAGATTTAGCAGCTACTTCAACAGTATCAACGCGGTCACATTTTCTGTGCTCCGTGCTAACACACATTGTACAACACAATGCTTTGTGGTCGTTGCAAAATAGTTCTATCTCTCTGTTTTTATGTTTTGAACAGGATAAGTTTGAAACCGAATCGGATAAAATGTTAGACGATTTCATTTTACTTAGTTGGTACACTTTATGGCTTTTTGTGACCAAGCCTTTCTTATGACATTTTGTACAAACTTGACATAAATTCTCCATACACGTGGCACAAAAGGCGATAGCCTCTTCTTCCTCGTTGTCTCTAAGACAAGACTCGCAATTCAACTGGTCACCTTTCTCAAGAATCTTTTCTAGAAGGTAATTTTCGGGAAATAAGTTTACAATATCCTCTGGCTTATCAATTGTGCCTTGATAATGAATGTACTCACGGCATAGCGGACAATGAAAACCCAAACGGGGTTCCGTAGACGTACGCACGCTGGCAATGTAGGATGATAAACAACTATGACAAAACGAGTGAGAACAAGGGAGATACCTCGGTTTTTTGAATTTCTCAAAGCATATTGAACACAAAGTCACATCCTCCACGATGGAAATTTCGTCTAACGAGGTTGCCATAGTCTGTTTTGATTGCTGGGGTTTTCTTTCCTACTTCCGATATATTGTGACGCCTGACGTCATGTATGCAGTATGGAAACACAAGTGGTGAAAGTTTGATCCGATCACAAGAAACAGAGAACCAAAAGATAATGAGGCACTTTATACAATGTAGATCGACGCTGCAAACATTGTATTTGTTTGTGTAATATATTTTTTTTTATTCCAAAGTCACACCCCCTCCTCCTTTGAACCTCAATTTGCAGTCTTTCTAAAAGTATCAGACATAGAAATTATACAAAATAAATAGAATTTTTAAAAAATTAAAATAAAAGAAAATGAATGTGTCGAATCTTCGGAACACGATTTTTATGGTTATTAAACATGTTTTGAGACGCATAAGTAGTCTGCAAATTTTAAGCTTTAAAGTGATGTTCATTTAGAATTAATTTGTAAACTTGAAAAAAATATAACGCTAAAACGAAGAAGTTTTACTTTTGACCCGGACAGCTTGCCATTGTGAACAAACCCTGCCTCTTTGTGAAAATAGTGACACGCATATACAGGATTTAACGAATTATGGCATCAGGATTTAATATTGACGAAATCACCGTGTGTTCAATTTGCTTCGAAAAATTCAAAATTCCGCGATATCTACCGTGCACGCATTCTTTTTGTCACGGATGTTTATCTTCTTACATCCTTACTGCGTGTAAAGCTACGGAATCTCGTTTGGGTTTTAATTGTCCATTATGCCGTACGTTTATTCCTTGCATTGGAGAGACTAATACGCCGGAAACGTGGGCTGAACTTTTTCCCGAGAATGACGTTTTGGAAAAATTATCAGTTAAATCAGAAATTACATTTTGCCAGGCGTGTTTGCGAGAAAATGAAGAGGAGAATGCCACCGACATTTGTTTGTACTGTGTAGAACGTTTGTGTAAAATATGTACAAAAAGCCATAGAAGAGGACTTACAACGCTTGATCATGTGATAATACCAATAAAAGAGATGAAAAGAATGCCTCTTACTCCAAAAGCCACCCATGGAAACACTTGTGCAAAACATCGAGATAGAAAGTTGGAATTATTTTGTAATGATCACGAAGAACTATGTTGCACAATGTGTGTGAGTTTGGAACATAGAAAATGTGACAGTATTGATACAATGGACAAAACTGCAGATACAGTACCGACCAGACCCAACCTGACACAAAGCAGTCCCAGAGCAGTCCCGAAGACTGCTTTCTGGGACTGCTAAAGCAGTCCCACAGCAGTCCCAGAGCAGTCCCAGAGCGGTCCCACAGCAGTCCCACAGCAGTCCCAGAGCGGTCCCAGCAGTCCCAGCGGTCCCAGAGAGCAGTCCCAGCAGTCCCAGAAAGCAGTCCCAGCAGTCCCATAGGGCGGGGTTTATTAATGTAATGGGCGGAGCTAACTCAGAAATGAGATTTCCAATAAACAATGGGATTATAAAAGGCAGTTAAAATTGATTCTGGGTAGTATGCCAGGAATCCTTACATGAATGCGAAGGTCATTTATTAACAGTACGCGCAGAGAACCAATTTGGAATAATATTTATTAAAGGAAGAAGGCTTTCACACCTACATGTATAAAATTAAACTGAACATGAATATTACACCAGAGCAGTCCCAAGTTAAAATTCATTAAAATTAAAATTTGTTATCTATTAAATAAAATTAATCACAATTACCTGGTATATAAATAATTCCATTTTTATTTTCTATGATTGATACTGTTTCCCATATTAATTTTTTCTACAGAAAATTAAACGTGAATTATTTATTTTCCACCAGAATAAGCTTTAAATAGTTCTTTTCGTTATATGGCCAATTTCCATACTATCGGGATACTCTAATAAATTTTCTTAAGTATTGGGGCTTTAAAAAAAAATCTTTGTTAATTTTGCCAAGTATTATTTTTCAGTCATGATTATTTTTACTTACATGTCAATATAATTATTTTAAATTTCTCTATCTCTATAATACTGTGCTTTAAGTTTTAAGTGCTTTATTATTTGTAAATGTTAGAGTGTATATCTGTAAATCACCAGAATGGAACCCTCAGATTATGTTCAAAATTAATTAATCCTGAAAGAAATTCATACACATCTCATTTCTCAATTTTATTTTTGCTTTACATAGATTGAAATTAGGGTCATTGTTGACCAGCATGTTCAATGATGTGAAACGCTGATATGTATGTTATTACACAAATAACATGAATTGATTTTCTGCCCAAAGGCGATTGAAACCGCGAGTGTTGATACCATTTTTAAACACATTAATCGGCCAGGTAAACAGAAGCAAAACAAAAAGAAATAAATCGCAATTCCCGGTATTTTCAACTGTTTATTTTCAAAATTAATGTACTCTTTCAATAACTTGTTTATAAATTAAAAACTACGGTAATTCATAAATAATTTCCCCAGTGATTATCCACATTGTTTATGTTACGGAAGAATGGTAGCATTAATTTATTAATTTTATTTTATGGTCATTTAATAAAGTGTGAAGTTTTCTATTTAAGGGTTAAAAACATGTTCCTTTTTCAATTAAAAATCTTTTATTTAAGTGTAATAATTATTTTTAAATAGAACCAATGCAAATTTTTAGTATCTGATTTTACATTAAATACCCCCGTAATAAAAAGGCCTACATGTTGATATTTTTTTCTCCTAAACCTTATCTTATATCTGATATTTAGGGGGGAAAAATTAATCTTCTCCCAACTTCCTTATTTTACAACTTTATTTTTTAAAAAAATTATTCTAAACTACATTTGTGTAAATATACAGTCTAGGTAAATATTAATTAACTGTAATAATCTCTACTTATTAAAAGATTGTAAGAAATCCTTGCTTTTTAAACAGATTAAACTCATCTCTGCTGCAAGTAAACAAAACAACAGGGGGCCTGCAAATTCAGAATACACAAGGGGGCGGAGCTATCATGTCACTCAGAACCTTTTTTCACACATGAGTGAACAAAGCAGTCCCAGAAAGCAGTCCCAGGGACAGCTGGGACTGCTGGGACTGCTGGGTCTGCTTTTTAGAGCAATCCCAGAGCGGTCCCAGAGCAGTCCCAAAGCGGTCCCACAGCAGTTCCACAGCAGTCCCAGAGCGGTCCCAAAGCAGTCCCAGGGACTGCTTTCTGGGACTGCTTGGGTGTCAGGTTGGGTCTGGTCGGTACTGTAATGTTAGAAAATTATTGACAGAAAATTCCGAAAGATTATTGGAAGATGTGCAAATTCTAGAGAACAAATTATCTGATGCGAAATCGGAGCAGGAAAGATTTGTTCTTCAACTGAATAACACTGCCGATTTGTGTACAGAGAGGACCGAAAGAGCCTTTAACAATGCCATTGATCATCTGCAAGGCTTAAAGAATGACTATCTAACAAAAATGTCTAAAGCTGTAAAGAAAAGCAAAGAGAATTGTGAGAAATGCTTAGAAACTTTCATTGACGGTATTCAGTGTACAGATTTCTGTACTAGAAATATCGAGGCAGCTAGAAAAGAATTGAAAGACGTAGAAATGGTGATGGCGTTCTATAAAACCAGGAAGACATTAGATGAACTAAAAAATTACAAATTTAACCAGATAAGAGTAGATATTGTGGAAACAGAACCACCTATCTTGAATGAAATTATGAATTTGAAAAATCTACAGGAGGCTATCGTTGCCGAGGCAGACCTTGATGTTACATCCAACCTTCGAAGGACCCACCTGTCCCTGTTGTATGAATTCAGCATAAATGCGGCATTTGTTCGCGATGGAACCTTTCTTTCTAATGGGGAATTTATTCTTTCTACCAGAAAAAGTCATCGTTCAGGAGCATCCGATGATTCATGTTTTGTATACAGCAGTAGTTGGGAATGTATCAGAGAAATAAAATCATTATCTAAACCATTTGGTATTTTACAGATGGGAAATGGAGTATTTTTAGGATGTACAGGTTCAAAGGTTATTGATATGAGGTCACTTGGTAAGTACGATAAGATGACAACAATACGTATGTCAAAAGCCATTTATGGAATTGCATATTTGAAACCAAATTTCTTCGTAGCATGTGATGACAGGATTTTAAAGCTAAATCTATCAGGAGCGAAAGTAAAGGAAATCAACACAGGAACTAGTGTAAAATATATCATAGCTACAAACGACCACATTGTCTACAGTAATAGAAACACAAACACAGTGATATGTATGGATAGAGTTGGGACACAAGTCTGGTCCTACAGCAGCATGAGTCTTGAATCTCCATGTGGTCTTGACAAAGACGCTGACAACAATATCTATGTAGCGGGTAAAGAGAGTGACAATGTCCACGTGTTGTCATGTGATGGTGAACTTATAAGAATCTTTGAGGATATTCCAAGGCCCGATTTTATGAAAATAGACAAGGAAAGAAAGTTGTGCTGTGTCTGTAGCCAAAGGAAAAACATTAAAGTGCTCGAACTGAAATAATTGATTAAAAGGATGCAATTCTTTTGAATTGAAATGAAATCTAACGGATAACTTTTAAATGATTCAAGAGAAAAATGTAGCAAAAAGAATTTTCAGAGTGATATGTTGAATATTTCAAGAAGAATAAGAGAAATATAGGTAAAGACACTTGAAGAATTAAGTTTAATTAATACAATACAATATATTAAACTAAAATAATTTTTGATAAGTGAAAATTTGGAAGTTAACGTTGTATATATCAGGTTTCTGTTAAGTTTGTAAAAAGTTAGTCAGTTATACTTGCCTGACAGTCACATGACAGGTTAAAATTAGAAAAAAATAATTTTGTACATCTTAGAAGATCATGAACATTAAACAATTTACGGAATATTTTTGCTCTGAATTATTTTTTAGACAAAAAGGATTTTTAAAAATGTCATTCAGTTGAATGTATAGCCAAAATGCTCAGACAATAAATGTGGCCCATGGTTTTTTTTGTTCCTTTATTTTATTTGGTATCACAAAAATAATTAGTGCTCATTTAAATAGTTAACATAGTTGTATTACATGATAAAACAGTATCGCACAACTGATTCCCAGCAAAATTCAAGATATTACGAAGTTCTGTAAAAAGTAAGTTCAGAATTTTTAGTTATGAAGCTATCGTTGAACTTTTTGAGTGGTTCTGTTCATCATAAGATAGTACAGTGTACGTTTAACAAATTTAACAAATCAGGTCACACACCCGCTGAAGGATTTCATTATGACAGTAACAAAGCTCGTTTATCAAAACATTTACGTTTCAGGGGCGTATAAAATTGTTAGCACATCCTTTGAGCAAGGACTGACAATTCTGGTGACTTTGTTTGCCTTCTCGAAAATTTCTACTTCTAATTTTCCTGATTATTGTTTCATATAAATTATCAATACACAACGAAATTTCTTTCTTTTTTTTTCTTTTTTTTTTTTTTTTTTGAGCATTGCGGATAAAGTTCACTTTGTGAAAATGCAGGATGTGTAGTGTAAATAGAAACAAGTCCCGAATACATGGTTTGAATAATTTCAAGATGAAATAATTTTTTATCATATTTTCATGTGAAATCCTATAGTAATATAAAATTCATGATATTATACAAAAATTTGGTGAAAATATTATCTACAAACCTGTGCCTTATCACCTTTAAAATGAATGACTGTACATGTAATTGAAAGCATTTCGAAATGTAGACAGGTAATCAAATTTGACACTTAATGCAGAATGCTCAATCTTAAATAAACTGAAAAGCATGCTCTTAATGAGTAAAAGACATTTTTAGACGAAAATTGTTTCTTTTAAAATTGACCGATTGTCTATACACAGCGCATTATCCCAATAGAAACAAGACTTAATTAAATAAGAATATTACTCAACTTGTTTGAAAGTCAAGCAGATATATCACACCCACTGATAAAAAAGAAATGCTAGACTCAGCAAATAAAGTGCAGACAATGCAATTCAAGCCCCTTTACTTTGTCCCGATAACAGGCTGTATCGAAGGGTTGTTTTTGCCTCGTTTCCAAAACAAGGAGTATCGAAAGCATACACTGTTTTAAAAGATTGTTTTTGCCTTGTTTCTAAAACACGGATTTCATGCCGACAGGAAGGTTACTGTTATAGAGATATAAAATGGCATCAGGGGTAACCATAGATAATGCTACAATGTGTTCAATTTGTATCGAGAAATTCAAATCTCCTCGATATCTATCGTGTACACATTCCTTTTGTCATGACTGTTTGTCATCTTATATAATCAATTTATGCACAGGAACGGAGGGACATTTGGGGTTTAATTGTCCGTTATGCCGTGAGTATATTCCTTGTTTTGGTGAATGTGAAAAGCTGGAGGATTGGGCTAGCCTTTTTCCTTTGAATGATGTTTTGGAAATGATATCCGTGAATGCAAACAAAATAAATTGTCAAGCCTGTTTGCGAGAGGACGAAGAAGAGGATGCAGTAGAATATTGTCTCTCTTGTATGGAATATTTATGCATAATGTGTATAAAATATCATAAAAGGGGACTTACGACTAAAACCCACAAATTGATTAAACTAGCTGATTTGAAAAGCACACGTATCGCACCCATTGCCGTTAGAGAAAACACATGCTTCATTCACCAAGACAGAAAGATAGAATTATTCTGTAATGACCATGAAGAACCCTGTTGTACAATGTGCGTGAGTATGGAGCACAGAGAATGTAAAAGTATCGACAAAGTCTAAAAAACTGCCCAAAACCTCAGAGAATGTTTGAAAGAAAATGATGATATCATACTTGAAGACCTAGAGATTCTGAAAAACAAACTGTCAGATGCAAAGAATGAGCAGGAAATATTAGTCCTTAAATTAGACGACAAAGCTGATATTTTTGCAGAAAGTGCTGAACAAGAATTCAATGCAGCTATCCAGCACTTAGAGTTTTTGAAAAACGAACATTTGACAAATATGTCAACGGTTGTCAAGAAAACTAAAGAGAAGTATGACAAATGCATTAAATCGTTTACTGATGGAATTCAATGCACAGATTTTTGTATTCAAAAGCTTGAAGAAGCAAAAAACAACGACGATGACGCCGAATCAGTTAAAAAGTACTACAGAGGAAAGAAAATAGTTACTGGACTGCAAAATTATGAATTTTCACAGATAAATATTGCAATTGAAGAAGAAAAGCCTTATATTTTGGAACAAATTATGAATTTGAAAAGTCTCCCCGAAGCTAGTATTTCCGAGTCAGATATTGACGTTATTACTGACTTGAAAAGAGTTCAGCTGAAATTAATTTCTGAATTCAGAATTGATGTCGGATGTGTGCGGGATGGAATATTTCTAGGGAATGGACAGTTTATTCTTTCAGCCAGGAAACCACAAAGAAATTCTCATGATGATAAATGTTTAGTATATGATAAGTACTGGAAATGTACAAATGTAGTCGGATCACTCTCCGAGCCATTTGGACTTGTACAAAAGGATAACGAAGTGTTTGCAGCATGCACATTGTCAAAAGGTTTGACAGTTTTATCGCCACCTATCTTCGTCAAAGACAGGACAATTCGAATTGGAACACAGATATTTGGAATTGCATATATACCCTATGGATATTTTTATTTAGCATGTGACAACAAGATTATAAAAAATTACAAAACTGGAAGGCAAATGAAAGAGTATAACACTGGGTATGGAGTCAAATATCTAATTTCCTCAGGACGTAGAATTGTATATAGTAACAGGAATACAAACGAAGTTATAGCATTGAATGATAACATTGATTCCAAAATATGGACATACACCAATCCTCATCTAATATCACCATGCGGACTTGACAAAGACTGTGTCGGCAACATCTATGTTGCGGGTAAGCAAAGCGACAATATTCACGTGCTTTCTAGTGACGGTATTTTGATTCGACTCTTTGAGGATATTCCCAGACCGGATTTTATGAAAATTAACAAAGACAGAAACATTTGTTGTGTATGTAGCAATCGAAGAAATATTAGAGTGTACGAGTTTAAATAACTAGATGATATACTGGTCGTATAAAGAAGTATGATGGAATGGAGCATTTCTTTCACTGTTATGCCGTTGTCATACAGACTGAATACATTTATTTACATCACTGAAATATATTGAATCTTTGATGGAATATTTCTTATTTTAGTTTTTAGAAATTTTGAGACAATTAAACTATTTTGTTTGAATTTTGTAACCAATATATTTGTTCTTACTGGAGTTTTATGAAGAGACTTACTTTTACAGTTAACGGCTTACTTGGACATTTAAACCCGAGTCAAGTATGGAGGAACGGAATTGAAAATAGATAAGAAAACATTCATTGAGGCGAAAGTTATGGTATTCGGGGCTTTGAAATAATTTATCAAACAAAAAATATAATTGGGGTAGATTAAAATTCATTTAGATACTGTATTCGCAAGAATTAATATATCTTTTAATTTTCAATAACTTAAGAAATTAAATAAAGAAGAAGGCACATTTCGGTAGAAAAACTCGACAGGAAATAGTCAAGACTGGAATGGAGGATGTTGAGGGGAAGGAATGTAGCCGTTTCCCTCCTTGACAACATAAAACGATCTTTGAAATAGCCCGTTATTAACTTTTTTAGTTATCATCAATATTTTTTTCACAAGAGAGCTCCCGTATAATTGTCAGGTGTAAAAGTAAGCCGTCAACCGTAAAAGTCAGTGTCTTCGCAAAACTCCATTAGTCAGATATTAGTGAGAAATTGAAATACAATTTTAGCCTTGTCAGAAAGGCATTGCCTTTATCAGTGTTTTGGCAAACATACTCCTCCTTGGCCCCTGATTCCACTTCTGATGTTTTATAATTCGTGTTTGCTCAGTACCAATTTTGTAATGTTTTAATGAACTTTCCCGTTTAAATGCTGTTCGTTATCTCTACCTGTTTCATGCAATCATATCTTTATACCAGGTATAAATAGATACAATTTTTAAAAATGTTTTTCAAAATTCAGAAAACTTTTAAATGTCTATAGATGTAAAGGAATTTATTTGATGGAAAAGGATAATTGAAGTTTTCAATAACAGAAAGGAAATTTTAGCGATAATCAACTCTTTAGAAAATCAGAGACCATTTAAACTGCTTGAAATACAATGCGGAATATTGATAATGCATTAAAAAAAAATTGCATGAAAGGCATTAAGCATTTGTTATTCACTGCGCATTTTTCGAATTTCAGAAAGCATCGCCATATTTAGAGTATTTAATTTTAAGTGTGTACAAGGTATATCGACATTAATATTAGCTTTTGTGAAGTTTTATTTACAAATCAACTATAAAGTACACGTGTATGATTTGATTTATCTTCCTTTTGAATTTTTGGGGGAAAAAAACATTCTGAAAAGTAAATTGTGTTGTCAACAATGTGAAATATTTTCTAGTGCTCATTATTTTTTAAAGTAGTAATATTTTTCTTACTACGAACAGATTGCATTACAGCTGCAATGAAATGGACATTTTCGTGTTTTTTTTCATTCTAAAAATACTGCAACGATGAATTGACTTTTAAAAAGATTTTTTTTTTCTAACTAGCATGTATATACATGTATGCAATACTATATTTAAAAACAAGTTTCGTCAACACTAATGATTTTGTTTATAGCCATCAATCTAAAAATGTATTTGGTTTTTTCTATATTCAATGATTTTATGATAAGCATCCTCAAACATCATTAGTGCAGCACTTATAACATCTATAGTATACAGAGGGCAACGAAATAAAGATGATTGTTTTAAATTCATTCAAGTGTACTGGTCCCTACTGATAGAGTCTTGTGTTTGTAAGGCTCATTGTAGTGTTTTAGAGAAACGTGGATTTCATTCAGCACCTGGTAAATTAATATTTACTTAAAACCTTCTTCCTAAAAAAAAAGACGTTCCTATCAATATTTTCCAATTTTAATAAGTAAAAAGTAGAAAAACGAAATACCATTTTACTTGTCTTAAGTAAACAAGATTTCTAAACTACAGTGTGCATTTAAATCCTTACAATAATGATATTACGGGTTCCAGTAATGTTAACCACCTCATATGGCTCTCTTTTCTCATTGAGTATTGACAGCAGAAATTTAATTTAATTCAACGGGAAAATTCAATTAAAATATAAAAAAAAGACAACATTCGACTCCTTGAATTGTATTTGTTGACAAGGTCATTGCATCACTCAAAACATGTTCCAAATGGTGAATTTTGATATTTCTGTTTCACTAACTTGATTTTTAGCTAGCATTATTTGAGATAGTGTTCCCTTGCGTATCGAATCGAGTCGAGACATTAGCCCCATGTACAGACTTTAAGTGTATATTGCTTCCTAAAGGAAAAAGGCGAAAGGGGAGTTGAAAGAAAACTTGAAGTATTCGTGATAATGATAATGTACTGCTGTTAGGTTTTTATGTATTGGATATATGCCGAATACAGTTCTGTATTAAAAAATATCAGACAGTTTGAGGGCTGTGTGGGCCGAAAACTGTCTGATATTTTTTAATACAGAATTGTATTCGGCATATATCGTACTTAAAACATTGCTTTTGAGTTACCCGAGACAGTCCGATATTAGAACAAAAGATAAAGGTGTTAATGACCACTGAAGCAGGAGGCTTCAATGAAAAGTACTCAGTATTTAGGGATTTGGCTACACTGAAAAAGTATTTGAAAGAATTTAAAAAGGAGAGTGGGGAAAAAATTTCTTCATTAAAACATACACGAAGATTAAATCAGTGCAACGAATTATAATACAATCTAGTGAATGATGAATTTGAAATGAAGGGAAATTGACGACATGAAGAATATTTACAGAAAATTATGCAGATGCTAATGGTACACTGGTCCATTTCATTTTTTTATGATAAGCGTCTACATATACTTATGTTTTTAATGTTTAATAATACAGAAAAAACAAATATAATCAAAAATCCAGGAGTTTTGAGGGAAACGTTGAAAAACTTCAAATTTCTTTCAAAAAATTTGTTGCAAATCTTTCAAATTGAGTATTAACTATCATCTACTAGACCTAGTTACCTTGATTTTGCATCTATATGCATTTTCCTTTTAATATAAAAAATGAAATTTGGATTTTATTATGAATTTATTTTTTGAAAGGCTTTAATAATATAATTGCTTCTCTGGTGACACCCAGTATGCCCACTCTTTTTTTAAAACCAGAGAAAGGGGTTGAAACACTTGTCCAATTTTAATACAGTTTATTAGAAGTTTACCCATTTTTGTGGTTTTTATGTTAGTTTTTAATTTGCATTATTTGGTCTGCCGCATGTTCTTTTTCCTATCACACTATATTCGATGTAAATAAAAGTTCAATTTTTTTTGCAAGTGTTACAAAAATAACGTTGTAAATAGATAAATGGAAAATATTCTTGGAAAATTTTACAGACGTCGAAAAACTATTAAATACACGATCAGATTACGTGTCGCTTTCAAGATAGAATATGCAATAATAATTTCTGGAGAATTTTCTGAAAGCTTTCCATGAATTTAAAAGAAGTAGGGTATATCAAGTTGGCAGAATTGTGCCTGCCAACCTTTATTGTATAAGAAAAATCTCAAAATTGAAAGCCAAACAATATTCTCTAAGTCCTGGAATGTAAATAGAAGAAAATATGTAGATGATCTCTTTATTGAGAAAGTAACTTCTTAGCATGAGACAACTTTTTTTTTTACAATGTTATGATATTTAAATCAACTATTAGACCTACAAAAGCATACAACAATCAATAACAAGCATATTTTAAGAGGTATTCCTTTTGTAAACATGAATTATTTCATAAACCAGAAATTCCATGCAATATCAAAGTCTTTTTGTTGACAAAAAGGAAAATGTTATGTATGATGTGCTACTTAAATCAGTAATAAAACTTTTGAGGATAAAAACATATTACAAATTGAAGAAAAAGAAGATGGCAATAGCATGATTTTATCCTTAATGAAAGAAGGACATTTTCGATTTTAGTGTTAAATAAATGAATGATATATTTACAGAAAACAGAATCTCATTTATATAATAAAGTCAAAATGTTTAAGAGTCTTGTGACTAAAATACTATATTTTCCCCTCAGAACTCAATTAAATGCATTTGAAAAATCCATGAGAAATCCACTCAGAGGTCTTAATGGGAAGAAAATATGTAATATTTTTATTTTTTGCTTCGTTTCCTTTGATGTTTAGTAGATACATAAATAAATGATGCTTCTATGAATTTCTGCTTTCTTCAAAATAACTTTATGCATTATAAATAGGTACTTTTTAAAACAAACTAACATTTAATTTTCTTCATGGGTAGGCCAGGTAATTAATCTTTAAATTTTTTCTGGCAATTACTTTTTTTTTTATTCCTGAGCCCATTTAATTTCCCTCTGTATTTGAAATATGTTTAAGAAACAAAGGAAGATGACTTGTAATATTTTAGCTTCATTTCCATTAATCTTTTATAGACAACGTGATTCTATGAAACACTGCTCCCTCAGGAATCTAGATAAACGCCACAAAATTAAAACGATTCTCATATTTCTTCTTTCTCTTGTGTATCCATTTAATGAGCTGTTTAAAGGGTATTGATTGATAAAGTAATTAAATAGAAACGTAAATTAATTTTTCACAAATCTTCAAAACACAGGCATGTAATTTAGCCTCAAAATATAAAGACACTTTAACCAAACATGTCTAATAATCACTGATATTTTGCGAAATCCCTTACACTACAAATTATTTACACTAGCCAAAAGTAAGAATATAACAGGTGAAGATACATTTACTTAAGGAATAACTGTCTTATTTTTCGAATTCATGAAGTGATCAATGGATTGGCTTGTGTGATAATTTGCATGAACGCCGAAGGCGTTTATGCATAAAATTATCACACAAGCCAATCCATTGATCATCTTCATGAATTCGAAAAATAAGACAGTTATTCCTTATATTTACATGCTTTGATTCCGCCAATCCACGAGCTCCAAGCCTGCTTCTCTCTA